TTATACATATTATATACACCACAAGAATAGCATCACACTTTATGCCATGAAGATGATCCGAACAAAGGTAGAAATGTTGGCCAAAAAATGAAAAAGGTGTTTTTCTAATCTACCTCATTCTTGACCGCTCCTCGGGACTTCAAGAAATAATATACAACAAAACTACCCTGTTTCCTCTCAGAATTGGATCAGGGGAACCAGATACTCGCTGCCGTGCTCAACACGGTTCTCATATCGGGTGGCATTTCTTCACGCTCTCTATATAGAGCCAAGAATCAACCCAATCGGGGAGCAACCTTTCTCTACATGCCGTATGCATACGCCGGATTAGGACTAATAGGAAGTGTCCGTGTGTCAACCTCGCACGGCCTGTCCTAAATCGGATGAGAATGACCCTTCTTTTATGAGTCAGATTCTCCTATGTCCACCTATCGGCAACGTGTTCCATAGTTGAGCGACACAATTATTTACCCGATAGTGTAAATGTCAAACAGGGCACCACTGGAGGACACTTGCAACCTGTATATAGTTCTTTACTTCAGTTATTACTTTTCTTCAAAGCAGTATGTATATGTATACACTTTTGACGTGTCATCTGAGAAAGATATAAGTGAAAGAAATGTCCAGTAAGATTGAGAAAGCCTCCTTCTTTTTTTAGCATGTTAAAAGTTAATTTTTTCCGCAATGCTGCATATAATGACTGGAAGAACTAAAAAAACCTTATAACAGTCCTGGAAGGCTTGTTGTTGTTTGTTTTGGTTTTCTTTTGTGATAAATTGTAAGATGCCAAGTTAATAAAAAGGAAAATTAATCAACTCTTTCATTCTAAATGCTATCTATGCAGTGGAAAAGTACTAACAAATGACACGCTTCAATTCGTGCCGACATATCTAACTTGTATCCTAAGGTCTAACAGCCTGCAACTGTATAGGATATGGGATGTGTATATTATGAATGAGAGTATAAGGACAGGTCAGAAATTAACAAAAGAAATGTATTGGTCTGATTTAATTAATGCGTATTTAAGAATAAAACCGCGTGCAAACCAAAAACAGCTGATAAATTCATGGCTGCCATGTTGGTTACCTCCGCCCTAACGGATAGCAATGTGACTACATTTTCGACCTAACACCTAACATTGGCCCTGGCCTGTTAGATCGGGCAATGTAAACTAGCAGATTCTTACAAGTCTAGGTCATCATTTTTGTCGACTTAACAGAGTCAACAGAGTTAACACAAAGATCGTGAATACCCCAATAATAAAAACATATAATGTGTTAAACCTTCTGAATTATTTTATATAATATTCACTAATATTCACGACCGAATATTAAATTACGTATAATTTTGAATTTATCCTGATTATTTTTTTTAAAAATAGGGATTCAACAGTTATCGGCGGGATGATGATCATAGAACATCAATTTTTGTTCAAATTTGGCAGTGATTCCTGAATTTTGCTGTAATTTTATAGTTTTGTCCACTCGAGTATTCACAACTCGTAGGATAATCAACAGCTGGAAGTTATTACCCGCTCCGTGATTCCGAACGTTGGCAAAGACCGTTTCAGAAAAAAAAAGTCGTAACCATTTCGTAATGGTTATAGTAGTAAAAAGCCGTTCTCAATTTCTGAAAACGCCCAGTGAAAGCGGCGTTTCCCGTTGCCTTTTGCCAACTGACCGATGGCCCGAGATGCAGGAGTACGTTGGAACACCTTGAATAAATAGACGTTCCTATGGTAAATAATAGCCGACGTAATGACAGACGTGATAACCGTTTTTTGTGATTGTTCGGCGTGAACAATCAGTAAATAGCTGTGCTCGCACGGTTCAATGTTAACGATTCGAAAATTTATTTCTCCAACGGGTAATTGACGATATCGACAATTTCCGCCGGTCTGATCGTTTCCAGACATTGTACGTGATTCACGAGGATGATCTCATGATGAAGAATGGAACTTCGATTTGGAATTAAATCGTCGTGCTGTGCAGGTTTTCCGTGCGCCGTTTCTAAACAGGTTCATACTAGAGTATCATCTATATCTCAAGATGAACCAGATTAAACCATTTACGTTTTTAGTGGTCAATTGATCAAGTTACTTCTTTCAATTAATTATTCTTTTTTATGTACGGTCTTGGTTGAGATAAAAAAAATCATACAATTAAATTTAAAAAAGACATAAAATGTCAAGATCATTGAATATTTTACACTGCCTACAATTGTTAAAAGTAAAATATATTTTTATTTGAATCTAAACAGGTTAAAACTTAAAATACCATCGATATCTCTCAAGGAACCAAAAAAATCAAATAAAAAATATACATAAAAAGCCAGGATCTTTCATTATTTTATACTGGTCACAATTGTTAAAGGTGAAATATATTTTTCTTTGTAATCTAAATAGGCTAAAACTTAGAAATACCATTGATATTTCAAAAGGAACACCAAAATGTAGTAAAAAATACAGATAAAAAGCCAAAATCTTTGATTATCTTACACTGGCTTAGTATTTAACTTAATATTAATATATTGTAATCCAATAATAAACATCCCTGCCCAAAAAAAAAAAATAATAATAAACAAACCCGACCACATGGTTTTTGAACACAAAAATTGCTAATTTTGGAAACGCCAGTTTTGGTAAAGTCACATACCTGCGGTATGTCTCATTTTTTAGGAAATTTTACGCTGAACAAGATGGTTTTATTAAATGTTTTCCTAGCTTCAGACATTCAACAGTGAATTCCAAAATTCGGGAACATCTTAATTTTTGCACTTTTTACGAAAACTTCACGTTGAGCTGTGGAGCCAGTAAGTCCTCAGAACACATAAAGAGTCAGGAAGATCATTGATTATATTACACTGATTACAATTGTGTAATATATTTTTCTTGGTAATCAAAACAGGTTAATACTTAGGAGAACCATCGATATCTCAAAAGGAACCACAAAATACAAGCCAGTGTAAAAAGCCAAGATCATTGATTATTTTATACGTGCTACAATTGATAAAATTGAAATATATTTCTCGACTCGTTATAATTATAATGTTTGAACGATTGAGAAACTTTTATACATAACTTAATATTAATACATATTCATTAAATGCACTAATTTCGTGGTCCGCTTGACCAATTAATATATTACGATTAATTAAGGTTTTTAGTTGAGGTAAAAAAGTCAATGGCACGAGCGGGATTCGAACCCACGATCTTCGGCTTGAAGGACGCTGCTCTAGCACTTGAGCTATCGTGACCTCGATCCACTCGGACACCAACTTCCCATCTAAACCCCACCTTTTTTAAATTTTCCCTCCTTTTTGCCATTTTTCAAATGTCGAGTAATCAGCATTCGATTCTCGGCGACAAATGAAATAGCCACGGAGGCTTTAGTGAAGATATACTTCATTTTATTTATTAAATCCATTAGATTTCGTGGTCCGATTGACTAAATAACATCTTTCAATTAATTAATCTTTATGTAAGGTATTGGTTGAAAAATAAAAAAGCCAGTGTAACGAGCCGGATTTGAACCCACGGCCTTCGGCTAAATCGCCGCTCCTCTACCACTTGAACTATCGTGACTTCGATCCACTCGGACTATATTTAAAATCTTTAATGCATAGTACAGCAAATATTTCAACTGTAATTGCATATAGCAAAAGACATCTCAAAAATTTTGAAACCGACTTTGACAAACTTTGATACATTCAGGACTAATGAACAAATAAGCACATCACTCGGCGACAAATGAAATGGCCACGGAGAGCTTTAGTGAAGTATACTTAATTTCAAATCATTAAATTCACTAATTTCGTGGTCCGCTTAACCAATTAATATATTACGATTAATTAAGGTTTTTAGTTGAGATAAAAAATGGCAAAAAGGAGGGAAAATTTAAAAAAGGTGGGGTTGAGATGGGAAGTTGGTGTCCGAGTGGATCGAGGTCACGATAGCTCAAGTGGTTGAGCAGCGGCGTATCAAGCCGAAGATCGTGGGTTCGAATCCCGCTCGTGCTATGACTTTTTTATCTCAACTAAAAACTGTAATTTATCGTAATTAATACATATATTGTATTGTAATAATAAATAAATTATATACACTGCCCATAAAAAATTATTTAAAAAACCGACTACCTATTTTTGAACGAAAAAATGACAAAGTTTTGAAACCCATGTTTTTTCAGCCTTTTAAGTCCTAGACCTGCGCTAGGTTTAGTTTTCTGAAAATGTTACACTGAACAAAATCGTTTTATTAAATGTTTTCCTAGCTTCAATGATTCAACAGTAAATTCAAAAATTCGGGCATATGTTAATTTTTGCACTTTTTACGAAAACTTCACATTGAGCTGTAGGGCCAGAAAATCTTCACAACACTTAAAAAGTCGAGAAGATCATTGATTATATTAAACTGATTACAATTGTCAAAATTGAAATATATTTTTCTTTGTAAACTAAACTGGTTAATACTTAGAATTACTATCGATACCTCAAATTGAACCACAAAATTAAATATAAAAATGCCCATAAAAAGAGCCAAGATAATCTTTGATTATTTTAGACTGACTACAATTGTTAAAATTAAAATATATTTGCTAGATTCATAATTATTAATTAAATTGTAATATAATAATAAATACTTTATATTTATTTTATGATGCTTAATAAAATATTATTCCATTTGAGAGAGTACAAAAATTATTCGAGAGCCTAATTTATACCTAGCTTAACTGATGACACAAGGTTAACAATTATCCAGACATTTCTTTCCTGTATTCGAACTACCAGATGTTAAATGAGAAAGTGATTCTTACAAAATTTACAATCGTTATAAATGATGCGCTGTATTTTATTATTTTTTTTAAACCGTTTCGAAATGTAACACCGGATTTTGCAAACTTCAAACGAAGAGAAGCATGCATTAACGTAAGTCTTTTATTTATTTAATGACACTTATTAAAATGCAATTATTTTCTGCACATGTAAGAGTGTTGCGTACTTACTCATCACGGCGTTTAAGTCGAACCTGTACAGGTTTGTTAAGTATGTTAAGCTCTCGTTTCTGCATGCTTCGTTCGAGCTGTCGATCGGTGCGAACGGGGGCGAAAAGGAAAAAAGCTTCTTCGGCAGTGCACTCGGTGCTCCGTCCTCTGAAAACAAATAATTAAACAATTATATTAATTTCGAGGTTGCAATTTAGGTTAGGTGAGTAATGGAAGGTTGGAACAAATGAAAAAAGGATGTTCCAATCAGCTTGGACATTATTTCGCAGTAAGGTCTTTCAAATCTTTCCACGAGGTCCTTGATGTTTCAGGTGAGCAATCTAACTGTAGAAAACTACGAAGTATGGTCTTTAGTTGGTTTTTTATTTTGTATGACAAAGTACAATTGCCGCGTCCTTAATTATTTTCTTTTATTTTTGTAAAGTTAATCGTTACTGTACACGGAAGAGGAATTCCCCGGTTTTTATCACACTTTGTCTACAAATCAAGGTAAGGAAGTTTCATACTCGCTCAAATTCTTTCTACTCTCATTACTAATAGTAAATTTTTGTTCGATTGTTAATACAAAAATTATTAAAAATTGTTTAATTCTGCATTGAATTAATAAGAACTGATCAACCCTGGAATTTGAATAGGAATAGACTAGGAGTAACCGGAACAGTTCTACTTCTATTTGAAAAAAAAAGATTTGAATATTAAGTTTAGATAAAACTACAAGAAAGAAGTAGAGTGAAAACAAAAATGATTTTGATAGAAGATTCACAATTGGAAGCAGAGAGAAGGAAAGAAGGAAAATATCTGAAGGTTCCTTTTTTGTACACACTTGTAAATATAAAATCAATTAGGTTTCGTGGTCCGAATGACCAAATAAATTTTTTTCAATTAATTAATCTTAAAGTAAGGTATTGGTCGAGATAAAAAAGTCAGTGTCTCGAGCGGGATTCGAACCCACGCCGTTCGGCTAAGTACATCAGCTATCGTGACTTCGACCCACTCGGACACCAACTTCCCATCTCAACCCCACCTTTTTAAAAAAAGGCAAAAAGGAGGGAAAATTCAAAAAAGTGGTAGAGCAGCGGCGCATTTAGTCGAAGGACGTGGGTTCGAATCCCGCTCGTGACACTGACTTTTTATCTCGACCAATACCTTACATAAAGACTTATAAATGTTATTGGTCATTTTGGTCTTGTTATCCATTTTGGATTGGTCTGTCAGTCGCTGAGTGATAGTGAGAACGACAATTTTATTATCAACACTGAAGATAGCGAAATGCCTAAGCGCGTATGACAGAACAACCCACAAGCTGATCACTGGGAAAACCGGGATAAAAAAATTTCATTGCTTATAAAATACATTAATTGTAAATATACTTTGTTTTATTAATGTAATGAAATAATTAGAAAATCACAAAATAAAGGGATACGCAATAATGAAAAAGATGGAAGGCAAAAATAGCTAAAACCAAGCAAAAAAGAAAGACGTTGGCGTTTAATAAGAAAATAATTGTTCGGTTTTCATCTCAAATATGATTTTTGAGGATTTTTGAGAAACTAAATTGAACGAGGAGTAAAAAATTCCCTTAACAACGAAAATATAATAGCAACAATGGTTTTGTGTTTGGACCTTTTGAAAAGAAACGGTAGAAAAGAAAAATCAGATGGCAAAAACAAAGAGATAAAATAAAAATAAAAAGCTAACGGAAAGAATTGAGAGGGCGTTGATGGAAGCCGCAAGAGTTAAAATAACGCATTAAGAGAAAAAAAGAGAGCAGGAAAAAATACATTACTGTGCAACTTTTCTCATAGAGTGAACCATTTTATTCAGACCGAATTTACCTTTTGGGAAAAGGTAAGTTTAGATGGCAATGATGAATGAAATAGAGTGAGAATAAAAAAAAACGGTGTTGATGGATGGCAAAAGGATTTGAAAAAGAAGAAAACAGGATATAGGTGAGATCTGTAAATAAAGCACACGTTTTTGTTTTCAACACGCATTGAAACAATTTGCGTAAATATAATTTGAATGTAGAAAAAGTGCAATTTAGACAGACTAAATTAAAAAAATAAATATAAACATTAACCAAACTGCCAATATGATAAACACAGAGTGACATAAAAATTAAAACTATAAGGAGCTGAAGAACATATCGGGTTGTCCGGAAAATAATGCAGGATTTTAAGTTTTCATTAAAAAAAATCTATATAAAATATTCTGTTTACGTTTACAGGATTACTCATTTGTATGAATGNGTATGGGAAATTATTTTGATTAAAGAACATTGCTTTAAAGTAACTAGTTTCTTTTTTTTTGTTTAATACCAAAATCCTGCATTATTTTCCGGACAACCCAATACAAGCAGGATATCATTGGGAGATCTAAATAAAATAAAAATTTTTGTTTTTATCCCCAACAAAAACAATTTGCGGAAATCTAATTTGAATATAGAAAAAGATGCATTTTGGCAAACCAAATTTAAAAAATATATATATATATATATATAAACATTAACCAAACTGCTGTTGTGATAAACAAAGATGAACAAAAACTAAAATTATAATGATTAAAGGCAACGAGCCGAAGAATAAGCAAACAGCAAATTCTGCCCAGAGCACGTTTTAAAAAACTGATAGACATAAGCCAAACTACAAATATGCCAAACAAAGAGGAACCTAAAATTAAAAAGATCTTGAATACTGGCAAGGAGTTGAAGAACAAGCAAACAGGATATATGTAAAAGCAGTAATAAAATAACACTTTAATTTTGATTTCTAACAGTGACAATATTCAGAAATATGATTTAAACTAAGAAAATGGTGCATACACAGCAAATAAAAAAATTGTAGATTTAGCCAAAATGCAATTATGGCAATTACAGAAGGACACAAAAATAAAAGGATGTTTATGGAAGACAAGGAGCTGAAGAACCAGCAAACAGGATATAATATCCCTTATAGTGACAATTTAAATTGAGTCTAGAAAAAGATTGCAAAAACATTTTGCGTAGAGAAAATTAAAAAAAACTGATAGCCGTTAGCCAAAATACAAATATACGAAACAAAGTATACAAGAGTAAAAAGATCTTGAAGAATGGCAAGGAGGTATAGAACAAGCAAACAGGATATATGTAAACGCAATAATAAAATAACATTTACGTTTTCATCTCTACTAGTGACCATTTCTGAAAATGCAACATAAACTAAGAAAATTATACATACAGAGGAAAACCTTAACCAAACTACCATTACAACAAATACAGAAATAAAAGGATGTTGATGTAAGACAAGGAGACGAAGAACAAGCAAACAGGATAAGAATAAGAAAATAACATTTTCGTTTTTATCCCTTATAGCGACAATTTAAATTGAGTCTAGAAAACGATACTTTTTTTACCAAAAAATAAAAAATAAAATAAAAATAAATAAATAAAAATACCATTAACGGTTTCAACTGTTTTACATTTCCAAAAGTGTAGATACCGAAAAATAAGTTTAGATACCAATGAATGATAAAACGAAGTGGAAATAAAACAGAGAGGCACAAGAATGCAAATGTCGCTTAAAGATAAAACGAGCTGAAAAAGCACATGAAGAGTACGAGAAAGAGGGTTGGGAGAGCAGGAAAGACGGACTTTTATATATCTTAGGCAAACATTGTTTAAAAAGCTTACAAAACCATCTAATTTATAATATATATCTTCTTATCAATTGCAGAAAGTGTATCATTGTACAAGTTATTTTTTAATTAAATAAATTAAGTATTCGATCACTTGGATCATTTTCTGCCGTGGTTTTAATTCCAAGGGGACATACCGGATGATAAACCCGAGACAAGAAGTCATGGAACCACCGCCCAATTCAGACGACAAAAGACAATTTTTTTCCATTTTTTCATTAGTTAATTTTAAGTCCTTACAAGATATGTACAGACATTATGCCATCACCTCCACATCCCTCACTGTTCTAAGGTAAATAATTTTACCCTAATTTACAATTTAGCATTAACATTTGACAGGTCTCGCACCATTTCATTGTCTTGCCTCTCCCTGCTTACATCCTTTTCAAGATGACGAAATTTCGATACTATTTTAAGTGGATTTTTTACACATGAAATCTCAACATCTTGAAACTTCATGATTGGTAATGTCTTTTGACCAAAAAAAGAGCAAGTATCTCTACTGGAAGATTTTTCACTAACATTCATATATTATTATATTCATTTATATCAACTCATGGACCAAAAGTGGAGGCATTAATTATCACATAATTAGTGAGATTACTTGTGGAAGACTGTCGGCACGCCCTAGAGGTTTTTGTCTGTCCGATTTACCTTCACTTGTGTATTTGTTGTCTTGCCTATTCCTGCTTATATCCCCGAATAACTTTTGAAGACGAACTGACCATACATCTAACACACCAAAATGATAACCGGTTCATACTCTCACAAACTGGAGGAAATCTCCCAATTTTCATTACACAACAAGCTTGGCATTTTTAAAAATGTATATTTGAAAGTTGATAGTATTGGTCTATTTACGCTGTTACAATATTGTCATCCTGTCTACATTATCACCCCTTGATAAGGAAACAACTCAATACTTTATACTTTATAAGTGTATATAAGTCACATAAAAGTAATTAATAACGACTTGTTTTGTTTTACATGATAGTTGAAGTTATTATGCATAATTTAAACAATTATTAAATGTTAAAGTTCAGTAAAATATTATGACAATGCCCAATTAACTGGAGCAATGCCTTTCGTAGACAATATTTAATGATAAAAGTTATGTCAATCTAACAAGCCTTACATAACATACAATGCTTACACCCCCCCCCCCCGGCGAAATATTAATTTTGAACACGGCAGTTCTAATTAAACTTCATGCTCCCTGTTTTTTTTTTCTAACTTATTCTTAAAAGGACAAAGTGCGCAATCCTCCATTGCTTCAGCCCGTAGATTGGGCGGGCGTCATTTTCCGCCTCTCACCGGCTGTCCCGCGTGGTTTATGACATGAAAGCACTCCCAGGACATTTGAATCAATTAATTTTGAAATTCCTGGGCTTAAGACACTTTCTAGATTGGTTTGCACTCCCGTAATTCATTCTATCACTTTTTTTAGCATAATTTTATTATAATAAGGATATGAT